TTCTCGCTCATCTTTAATATCTGTATCTAAACGTCATATCTTGTAATAACTGAAACACCACAACTTTTCGATTGATATCATTTTAAGCACAATATTTTTGTTTTTACCTCATCTATCGAACTCGCTTGTTTCTGAAACTTTAATTGTTAATAACTTTTTAAGAGATGAAAACTTTTAGAGATGAAAACAAAAGGTGAAAACGAAAAATCGACCTGTTCGGCAATGTGCAAACATATATCTATCAATTAAACTATTTTTTATTTAATTTACTCATAGTTGAGGGACTAGTGTGAAGATGGCCCCCCGAAATTTGTTTTGTTAATAACTTTTTAACTAGAAGTGTGCAAACGAAAATTCGAAATGTGTATACATGTGCAAACGATGAGCAATCGAATGAGCTATAGAAACTTTATGTTTTTCAATGTTGGGAGGGCTATCTTCAGGTTATACTTCCCACGTAGTTTTTCCCCATATACTTCCCACATAATTTTTCCTATATGCTTCCCGCATAGTTTTTCCCATATACTTCCCACATAGTTCTTCCCATAGTTCTTCCCACGTAGTTTTTCCCCATATATTTCCCACATTGTTTTTCTCATATACTTCTTACATAGTTCTTTCCATATACTTCCCATATAGTTTTTCCCAAATATTTCCCACATAGTTTTTCCCATATACTTCCCATATAGTTTTTCCCATATTCTTCCCATATATTTCCGACATAGTTTTTCGCATATACTTCCCACATTGTCTTTCCCATATACTTCCCACATAATTTTTCCCATGTAGTTCCCACATAGTTTTTCCCATGTAGTTCCCACATAGTTTTTCCCATCTAGTTCCCACATAGTTTTTCCCATCTAGTTCCCACATAATTTTTCCCATCTAGTCCCTATACAGTTTTTCCCATCTTCTTCCCACATAGTTTTTCCCATCTAGTTCTCACATAAAGCATTTATGTGCCGCTATGAATATTGTTTGTATGACTGATAAAACTTATAGAAAAAATCGAGAAAAAACTTAAACCAGCAAATTGCTTATAATACAAAAGTGAAACCTTAAAAGAAAATCTTGAAATTTTAAAGAAAAATTAAGTTTGAACTGATAAAGTTAAATTTAAAATGTAAGATTTTTTTCATTAAATTTTTTTCCCATGAATAATATATGTTTCTTAAATTTGAAAATAATAAGACAAAATCTTTTTAAAAATTAAACTAATGCCAGATTATGATTTGTGCTATGTAATTTATTCATATGAGATTTTGAAAAAATGAGTGAATTGGTCATTATTAAAATTGCTATTTTATAATGTTATATAATGATATAATATTCACTTATAATTCGTCAACGAAATGATTTCTTATAGAAGAATGCAAATCATCTCGCGTTTCAGTAGGTTATTAATTTTATTCTAATTCTAAAGGGAAATTGCAATATATGTTATTTAATTTAATAATTTATATGAAAGATACGAAAAACAGAAAGTTAATAATGCATTTTTTTTTTAAATTATAATGCATAGCGCAAGCGCTGGAACAGACAGATTCTTCGTCACGAAAGCTAGAAAATTGAAATATTGTTAAGTTTATTTACATCTAGGTTTAGGATTTGTAATAAAAAATATTTTTATATTTTATTATTGTGTTTTATGTTAGATACCTAGTATTTTAATATTTGAAAAAATTTTTAAATATTAAAATAATAATTTAAATATTGATATATAATACGATCGCTAAAATGGTCGATGTAAATTTCTAACGATAGAATCCATGAAATAAAAATAAAAATATAGAATAAAATGGATCGATATTTATTACTTTCTTTCAGGGGTTTTATATCCTTTCAAGTAGTTCTGTATATGTAAATATAATATATGTTTTTTGATAAATATAATTATTTAGCAGAGACTCGAACCTTTTCAAGTAGAGATACAAACCATAGTGGAGATTCGAACCCTCTTAACAAAAATTTAAATCTCCAATGCAGAAAATTTTTTTAAATAGATGAGATATTTTGGTGAAAGGTTAATCGTGTCAACATATTTAAATTCAATTCTATTTATCATATGAAGATTTTTTAGGATTTTATTTTTATTGTCGTATAGATATATGTTGGACATGTGTCTATATCATAAAATTTAATGTTACGCAATAGAAATATAGAATGTGACAAAGGTTAAGTACGATGTCGTATGCCGTCTTTTAAGAAGAACATCGAGAACGTAATTTCTAAGCTCTGAGGAGCAGCATGCCTGAGAACGTAAAGAAAACCGGACCTTTGATAGGTGCTATTGATGAAGGAACGAGCAGCGCTCGATTTTTGGTAAACAAATCCAATGAATGAAATACAATTCCACTTTTGAGTGGTGTAAACAACCTGTCAGGTTATGAAATATTTGTTTCTACATTTAGGTATTTGACGTGTTACGCAGGAAGGTAGTTGCTTTGCATCAGATTGAAATCAAACAGAAATATCCTCAAGAAGGATGGGTGGAACAGGACCCAAAGGAAATATTAAAAGCCGTTATAGCATGCATAGAAGAGACAGTGAAAAAGATGAAGGATCTTGGCTTAACAGTTTCAGATATCAAAGCTATTGGCATTACTAATCAAAGAGAAACAACACTGGTGTGGGATAAAGAGACTGGGGAGCCTTTGCACAATGCAATTGGTATAAAACAGATATAGAAAGCATTCTTTTTTTATTTTTATATTATATTTATAATAATTTTTATGAATTATGAAAGATTGACAAATTTATTTAACATTAAATGATGCTGAATAAATTTCTGATTTTACAGTATGGCACGATATGAGGACAACTACGACTTTAGAAAATGTATTGGATAGTATTCCTAACAAAACGAGAAATAAGAATTATTTGAAACCTTTATGTGGGCTACCAATGTCTCCTTATTTTAGTGCTCTTAAAATACGCTGGTTAATAGATAACATTCCACGTGTGAAACAAGCAGTAGATGCAGAAAGGTGCGCCTTTGGAACGATTGATACATGGCTTATTTGGGTAAATAGACATTAAACAAAAATAGAATAAAAAAGAATTTCATATTAGTGAAAATTTTTTATGTTTAAAAAAATTTCTTATATTTAGAACCTCACAAAGGGCCAACTGCACATTACAGACGTGTCAAATGCGTCGCGTACAATGCTAATGAATATCGATACATTAAAATGGGATCCTTTATTATGTCGATTCTTTGGCATTCCACAACACATCCTTCCCGAGATCCGATCTAGTGCAGAGATTTATGGTTCCGTTTCGAATCCTGAAGTTCTCACAGGCATACCTATAGCAGGTGTAAGTAGGCATACAATAGAGGATATTTTATATTATTTTTTTTTCATGTACTGTTCAAATAATTCTTTATTTATTTTTTATTTAACTAGTAGAGATAATGCTAGAAAAACTTTTCCAACCAAGAATATTATTTAATTTTAATTAAATTTAAGTTATTAATATAAGTATAAGTAATTTATAGTTGCAATTATTCTTTCTTCAAAATCAACATTATTTTTAAATGAAATATCGATCGAATCTCATTATATCGATCTCGTAAATCGAATATCGTAGAGCACTTTATAATATATTGAAAAATTACATTTCTGAAAATAAATGAAATAATCACTTGTCTATAATTCAGTGCACTATATACATGTAATAATTACAGCTTTCTTTGTTTTTCATAGTGTGTGGGTGATCAGCAGGGAGCTCTCCTTGGTCAGTTATGTTTGAAACCTGGTCAAGCAAAAGCTACATATGGCACAGGATGCTTCTTGCTTTATAACACAGGAAATACAGTATGTAAAATAGTTATATATGTAATATAAAAAATATTGTGATGATGTGAAATAGTTTCTTATATCAGGAGTAATGCTTGGAAAATAATTGTATACATAAAATAAAAATGCTTGCGTGCAGAAAGTGGATTCGACGCAGGGATTGATAACTACGGTTGGTTACAAGATTGCACGATCTCCAGCTGTTTATGCACTAGAAGGATCCGTTGCTGTTGCCGGAGCTGCTTTATCCTGGCTGCGAGATAATATGCAGCTTCTCAGCAATATCACGCAAACACAAGATATGGCAGAGCGTGTGAGGTCCTCTGGTGATGTTTATTTTGTACCGGCCTTCTCGGGATTGTACGCACCCTACTGGCAACAAGATGCGCGCGGGTATTTTATTATATTTTTTCCATTTTTCTTCCTTTCTTATCATTGAAATTGTCAAGATTTTTCTCTAAGCGAATGTTTTCTTATTTATATGATATAATAGAGTAATCTGTGGTATTACGGAAGATACGCAACAATACCATATCATACGAGCAGCGTTAGAGGCGGTTTGTTTCCAAACAAGAGATATATTAGAAGCAATGATAAAAGATTCAGGAACAAAACTGACGACTCTTCAGGTTGATGGTGGCATGACTGTGAATGATTTGTTAATGCAGTTACAAGCAGACTTAACGGGAATAACGGTTGGTAAGTAAATAAAACTTTTGTTCAAATCTGTAATCAATTATTTTTTAAAACTAATAATTGTGTTGCAAACAGTGAGACCGAATATGATAGAAACAACGGCATTAGGTGCCGCCATTCTAGCTGGCATTGGTGCGGGTTTAATTGATATAAATGATGTGGACGCATCTCAAATAACCAAATTTTCACCTGTGATTGGTGAAGATGGTAAATAGTTATATATATTTTCTTAATAATATGAAAAGAAGAAAAATAGTTGATAACATACAAACTTTTCGTTTCAGAGAGAGATCTTCGATATTCCAAGTGGAAAATGGCTGTCGAAAGATCTATGAAATGGGATTGTTCTACAAGTTTAATAGATAATTAAATCGTATGTGCACATATATTTTTGTATTATAATATAATATAAATATCTTTGGGAGAGGATATAAAGATTATATCTATGATATATTTTATAATTTTTACATTGCGTTTAATCAAATACCTTGATTTTCCATTTACTCTCTTTTTCCCGCATCCATTTTCATTTTTTATTTTTCCTAAAGTAAATTACAAATATTAGGTGAGTTATGAATTAAAATAAAAAAAATTGGCATAACTTTATTACTTTTAATGCTGTAGAAAGTTTGCTAATAAGATACGTTAAATAACTAAAAATAATTTTTTGTATTTTTCATTCTCTCTATATTTATTTAATTTTTTAAAACCGAATGTGTTGTACTTTTTGTTTAACTCATTTTCGTAAAGAAGAATTCAATAACTTAGTGTTGGAATGACCGCAAACGATACAACTTATGTAATGCTAACTACAAGCATAAAAGATGAAAAAGTGTTTTCTTCTTTCATAAGAAACATGTCATGTTGACTTTTAAAAATATTAAAAAAATAATGAATTTTAAAATAAAATATTCACTACATTATTCTCTTGATATTTTTTTATAATAATAACAATTATGATTTTATGTGAGTGTTATTAAAAATTGTTATCTCACGTTACTTATTATATTATTATCTTATTTTCTATTACTTATTATTAAAAATATATTAAAAATTAAAAATAACATAAAAACAGTGCTAATGCGTGACATGATTTGCAGACAACGAATTTATCATAAATTTTTGACGCGAGAAGTCCTGTCCGTCGATTGATCCGGCAAACGTTCGGAGGACAAGCGGAATGGATCAATGTTGCGCATGCTGGCGCATGTGAGATGACGGCACGTGAGATGCTGAGTTGTCATCTCTGCGCTCCGTCCTCGTCCTTTTCTCCTTATCGTCGCACTTGTCGTCAGTCTGTGCGTCAGGCAGGAACAGTTAAACTCCCGATCGCAAAATGAAAGATCACGACGGAACGCCCCATCAGAAAAAGCCTACGAAACTAAGGAATATCGCGGATAAGACGGAAGCATTTGATTCCTTGCACGTCAAAAATGCCGAGGTATTTAAAAAAACTTAATATTGAAAACTGATAGTATCTGATAAAAGACATTTATTTAGAAATTGATCATAAACGAAAAAAAATTGATCATAAACGAAAATAAAGTGAAGAGATTTTTTTTTTTCATAAGGTGTTTGTTTTTTAAAATAAATTTTCTTTTTTTAAAAATTGAAAAGTTTATAGTTTCTTTTCCTTGTTTTGATTAATGATTCTCAGCGACGTAAATGTGCATCATGAATTTATTTTGATAAATCACATAATAATATGAGCAAAAAATATATTATATTATATATAATATTTATTATATATAATATTATGTTTAAAAAAATATATAAATTAGCAATGACACGTGATACCGTGTAGGGGCGGTTGACACATAGTTGGCAGGTGCTGATCTTCATCCTACATTGCTTTGATTTATAAGAGATTAATTAAGAATTTAAATTTTGAAGTGAAGTGATTGTGATGACTGATTTCAGAAATAATACATTATGCTTTTAAAAAAATATAAACAATCTTCTTGTATTTATTCCATAGCTTTAACTATTCTTCTTTTAAAAGATATTCTTATTTTATTCGCACTTTTTTTATAGCGGCAAATATAATGCATCGACGATGTGCATTGCAATATGTAATTAAAAATTAACTATCTTTTTAAAAATTTTTTTTTTAAATTATCTTTTCTAAATTTAAGAATAATAGATGATATATTATTTGATACTTAAAATCAATTTTTTAATGAAATTTCATCTGAAAATATTGTGTTTAAATATCTTCGCGATTTATTATGTTATGTAGAATCATCTTTGCTATACGAATCATCCTGGAAATATTTCATTATATCTTTTTTAATCAGTATTGCAATATATACATAAAAAGAGATAATGAAAAAGGTATAGTAAATAATATAAATAAAATTATATTAAATAAATTTCTAGAAAACGCTTTGCACGAACCAAGTCTGTCTTGGTAGCATAATGCAGCTGCCATTGCATGGAACGGAGCCACGTACAAAAGAGGAAATTTTGTTTCACGCGAAGGACTTTTTGGAGCAATATTTCACTTCTATCAGAAGGTAATTAATCGGTCAGTATTCATATAAACCATAAATCTCCAGTAAATCTTTTCTTCGATTTCATGTCTCGTCTCCTTGAACGGCACGTAGATTGAATAGCGACGCTCATCGTGCACGTTGGGAGAGCGTGCAGAGAGAAGTAATTGCCACTGGTACATATCAATTAACGGAAACGGAATTGGTTTTCGGTGCGAAGCTAGCATGGAGAAACGCTGTAAGATGCATTGGTCGCATACAGTGGTCGAAACTACAGGTCCGATTCCGCATGATAACACATTGATGCTTTCACGCAATAACATCTTTCACAAATTGCAGTTCTATAAAAAAATTATAGTTAATATTTATTGTTAATTCATTCATAAAATAAATGCATTTGTAGGTTTTCGATTGCCGCTACGTTACAACTACGAGTGGCATGTTTGAAGCTTTATGCAATCATATCAAGTACAGTACAAATAAAGGGAATATTAGGTATATATATATATATGATTATATTTTTTAATATAAATTTTATAATTTTTCTTCTTTTCTTGTTAATTAAAGGTATATTGAATAAAATAGATTATTCCTCTTTGTCTACATCATGCATGAAATAATGAAATTCAAAAAATTAGAGTTTAAAATTATTTCAAAAATTATCAAATATTTAAGTACCGGGGATATCTATATCTATTTTATATTTATTACAATTTTTTAGATCCGCAATAACAATATTTCCGCAGCGTACTGACGGAAAGCACGATTATAGAGTATGGAATCAACAATTGATCAACTATGCAGGATATAAAAATCCAGATGGTACTATTCTGGGCGATCCTGCCAGCGTAGAATTTACAGAGGTCAAAATATTTATGTATAATTTTTTCAATGATCAAAATATATATAATTAAATATATATAATTTATTGAAAAGGAAACTTACTAAAGAAATAATGCATAATTTAATAATAGGATTATTTTCTTTCTACAGGTTTGTATGAAATTAGGATGGAAGGGCGCACGGACTAGATTTGACATATTGCCATTGGTATTATCTGCCAATGGGCATGATCCAGATTATTTTGACATTCCCAGCGATTTGGTACTTGAAGTACCTCTTACTCATCCTACGTAAGTTTTCGTTATAAATAATATGAAGTTTCTAGAAAACTCTCTTATATCAATCAATTTAGTAGGAACATATTATTACAAACATCCAATATTACGTATTTTGGCTGATTATTATTTTGGATTATAGATACGATTGGTTTGAGAAATTAGATCTCAAATGGTTTGCTGTCCCTGCGGTGTCTGGAATGGTTTTCGATTGCGGTGGTCTGGTGTTTACCGCTGCACCTTTCAATGGCTGGTACATGAGTACCGAGATTGGCTCCAGAGATTTATGCGATACTCACAGATATAATATGCTCGAGACAATAGCGATGAACATGGGTCTAGACACAAGGACACCTACGTCATTGTGGAAAGATAAAGCAATGGTAGAAGCTAACGTCGCGGTACTGCACAGTTTTCAGATAAAAAATGTAACGATCGTGGATCATCATACTGCTTCGGAATCCTTCATGAAACATTACGAAAATGAAATGCGTCTCCGAAACGGTTGTCCTGCAGACTGGCTGTGGATCGTGCCGCCGATATCTGGATCTGCCACGCCAGTGTTTCATCAAGAAATGGCTCTTTATCATTTGAAGCCTTCTTACGACGCTCAGGACCCAGCATGGAAAATTCATATATGGAAGAAAGGACGCGACAAGAAGACAACTTCGAAAAAACCAAGAAGAAAGTTCCACTTCAAGCAGATCGCGAGAGCCGTGAAATTTACATCCAAGCTATTCGGACGAGCGTTATCGCGTCGAATAAAAGCGACCGTGTTGTTCGCTACGGAAACTGGCACATCTCAAATGTATGCGGAGAAGTTGAGCGAGTTACTCGGCCACGCTTTTCATTCCCAAGTACTCTCGATGGAAGAATACGATATCAGCAACATAGAACATGAGGCCCTCCTGCTGGTGGTAACTTCTACCTTTGGAAATGGTGACCCGCCGGAAAACGGCGAGGCCTTTGCACAAAATTTATATGCGATGAAAATGAATGACGCTTACATAAACAATGAGAATAAGATCAGTTTGGCAACCTCAAAGTCGTTTATCAAGGCTAACAGCCAAACTGAAGTGAGCGGATCGAAGAAACTGGATCGACTAGATTCTCTGCGTGGTTCTACGACGGATTCGCAAACCGAGGATACCTTCGGACCTCTCAGCAATGTGCGATTTGCCGTGTTCGCGCTGGGATCGTCTGCATATCCGAATTTCTGTGCGTTTGGCCGCTATGTCGACAATTTGTTAGGAGAATTAGGCGGAGAGCGATTGGCACGTTTGGCCCAGGGTGATGAGATGTGCGGACAGGAGCAAACCTTCCGGAAGTGGGCAGCTGATATCTTCGCGATCGCATGCGAGACATTCTGCCTGGACGATGACGACACGTTACTAGAAGTAGCTCTATCCCTAGGTTCCGAAGCATTATCTGCGGCCACAGTTCGTTTTGTAGAAACTGAGCCTCAACCGATTGCCAAAGCATTAAGCAAATGCCATAACAAAAATGTAACGATGTGCAATATGCTACGAAGAACCAACCTGAGTGGCGACGAGTCCAGCGGAACAACATTATTCTTAGAATTGGATGACATAGTGGGCATGGATATCTCCTACAAACCTGGAGATCATTTAGGTGTATTTGCATGCAATCGAGCAGACCTTGTGGAGAGAATTTTGCAACGCGTGCAATCTATCTTCGATCCTGATACATCGATCGAATTACAAATGCAGAAGCAAGCGCATACTCCCAATGGTAGATGTTTTCTTCATTTTTTTCAGTTTTTCAATTCTTCTATATTATTGATAATGATTTTTCTTAGGAATTGTGAAAACATGGATCCCTCATGACAGATATTTACCGAATTCCTTCAAAATGCTGCTAACTCGATTTTTGGACATCACGACACCACCTACACCAAATCTGTTGAGATATTTCGCTTCGATAGCTACAAATGCCAAAGAACGAGCACAACTTGATCTTCTGGCCTCTGTAAATATGTAAATATGTAAATGTAGTGTCGAAACGTTGTGGATAATTAATACAAGTTGAAATTTGAAGCATATAATAAGCTAAAATATTAGAAAAAAAAATCCGAAAAGAAATCCTTACATGAATTCCTGAATTTGTAACGTTGTCTAATTAAAATATTAATTCTAATTTCAAATGAACAGAAATTAGAAAAACTAAACAAACATTGAGAGAGAACAGAATTTAGAAGTTAAAAAAAAGTTTAGATACGGGAATTTATACGAATTCAAGTTTTTTCTTAACGCGATGTATCGAACACAATCTGCAAGTAAAGTTTAAAGAAACTTGAAAGATTCTTATTGGAATAGGATCCGACAGCTTATGAGGATTGGAGACATTGGAAGTTCCCCAATTTGGCTGAAGTTTTGGATGAATTTCCATCTGTGACTCCATTTGCTCCGTTGCTCGTGTATCATCTAACACCTTTGCAACCGAGATTCTACAGTATTTCGTCGTCTCCGCAGGTGCACCGAGGACAAATACATCTAACAGTCGCAGTGGTGCAATATCGAACGCAAAGTATTTATAAGCGTCATTTTACTTTTCATTTGATTTTATGTTCTTCTTCATTCTAAAGAATGTTATCTATAATCCATACGTTTAATTAGATGATAAATTGATACATAATTTGTTGATACATAATTGATACATAATTCTCGACTATAATCTCATAAATTAATCCTAGACGGTTCTGGACCGACACATTTTGGTGTCTGCTCCAATTACCTGAAGGAGATATCCGATGGAGAATTGCTATATGTGTTTGTACGAAGGTAAAAAAATGTCAATATTTTGATAATTAAATATCATTTATATGAAAATTTTACGTTGAATATAATCATTGATCAATATTTCAGCGCGCCAAACTTTTATATGCCAACGGAAACTGAGGCACCAATTATATTGGTAGGACCAGGTACTGGAATAGCTCCTTTCCGAGGTTTCTGGCATCATCGATTTGCTCAGATGAAACTTCAGCAGAGTACGAATATTTTTTTATATACATTTCTTTATTATATGCTTATAAATTTTAATATTAAATGTTACTACGATATTATCGATGCCATATAAATTATGACATTTTTGTAGATCAAAAGTTTGGTAAGATTTGGCTCTTCTTTGGCTGCCGTCAAAAAAATTTGGATTTATACAGACAAGAGAAGAAAGAAATGTTGGATGTAGGTGTTTTGGATAAAGTATTTTTAGCATTATCCCGAGAACCTGGTATTAAAAAGGTATATTAATATACTTATTATTATTTTATATTTTTTGAAAGAACAAGATTTTATGAAGATAAATTTATAAATATTACTCTAATTAAAAGATTCTATACATATAAATATGAAAATAATTTTGCATTTTAATAATATTACGAGATAATTTCGCATACTTAAATTTGCATTTTATATGATTGTTAGACCTATGTGCAAGATTTAATCCAAGCGGAAGCATCACAGATTTATAAAATGGTAATGTATGAACGCGGCCACTTCTACGTTTGTGGAGACTGCACAATGGCGGAAGACGTTTATCAGACCTTAAAACAGATTATACAAACGCATAGCCAAATGACAGATAAAGAAGTCGAAGCGTATATGCTATCACTAAGGGTATATGAGTCATTTATAATTTTTGTCTTGCTGTTCGAAATTTATGCATTTATTATCTATGCGACAGCAAGTATATTGCCATGTTCTTAAATCATGTTTTATTGCATTACACAATTCTTTTAGGATGAAAACCGCTACCATGAAGATATATTCGGTATAACATTACGCACCGCCGAGGTACATAATCGATCGCGCGAGACTGCTAGAATCCGGATGGCTGCTGAACCATGAAAATATCAAAACTGATAAAGCATAGTCCAAGTAATTTTCGTTCAAAGAGTTGCTATTACATTAATAATTACTGCACGTAATATAAAGAGGTTGCTACATTATAATAATTATTGCACACAACATAGGGGAAATCTGTTTTATTTACAAGTAGTGCTTGATTAAACCTTGCGATTCCTAGGATATTTTTATCCGCTATTTCGTGGGTCCACATATATTCAATCGTACCAAATATCACACTAATTATATGTTCGCTGCACGTAGTAATCCATAAGATAAATATATGGAATTTATTAATTCTACCTGATATTCCTTTAACTATGGAGCTCCTGTTGCTTCGAGATCTGGTTTCGGTCTCTGACTTAGGTTAGCCAATAATTTTTTTATTTCTGCTATCGCCTTTCCAGGATTTAAACCCTGCACAAAATATTCGCACTTCGTTTTGATTTCTTCAATTTTGTGAAATTATTAATAATCTGTGCATTGTTATTGTTGTTTACTGTGCGATGTTATTGTTTATTTAAACAAATCTGAATTTAATTAATATATTACCGGCCGCTGTTATGCCAATGATTTGATTTCTAGTAAAATTTATCATCAAATTGTACGAACTTGCTGTAAACGATATATTTTGTATTGTACAATGTATTTTAAATGTAGACAATTAGCTAAATTTTCTTGAATAGATAGTAAAGTCTATTGAAACATTTGTCGAGAATAAAACAAGCAAAGGGCAAAATATAAAAAGAATATACAAATTACTCTTATATTATTACAATTGAAGCATTATCTAGTAAAAACTCACCTTTGGACAAGTACGTGTGCAATTCATGATTGTATGACAACGGAAAACCGAATACGGATCCTTCAATTTCTCTAGGCGCTCCTTTGTTTGAGTGTCTCGCGAATCAATAATCCACCTATATGCCTAATGAAAACAATAATAGCTGAAAGATCTTAACTTAATTGATAATTCAAGGAAACGACACAAGTGAAAAACGTTCACAAGAACAAGCTGAACATATCAAGCGATATGTTCCATACATGTTAGTTTATTTCATTTATTAAAATTATTTTCGAATGAAAAAAATTTTACATCTATTATCTAATGTTGATGCTCTTTGCAATTTTCTTTTATAGAATTTCTCACTTGTGTCATTTTTCTTTAAATTGCTTGTTAACAATTGATTATTCCCTTATACAATAACATATTTAAAACAATGTAATATCAGAACACACTTGCATAAGTACTGCGGGGCCTAAATACTTATCACCATTCCACCAATAGGATGGACATGAAGTACTGCAGCAAGCACAGAGAATACATTCATAGAGACCATCCTATGTTAATTAAAAATATCAAAATGTAGTTTTAGACAAAACAAGTGTAATCAAAATGGAAGATCAAATAAATACAACAGTTTCATGCACTTACCAACTTTTTACGGTCTTCTACACTTTGCAAATACTGCTTATTTCCAGTCTGTTTCCCAGTATCCTTGCGCTGCAACCAGGGTTGTATGCTGCGGTACTGATCATAAAAATTACTCAAATCTGGCACCAAATCCTTAACAATATACATATGAGGCAATGGATAAACATTACACGATGTACTTGTGTTTTTATCAATTTTGCTAAAACATATAATAATTTCACTATTAATAATCGTTATATTTATAATTTTTGATAACAATTTAAATTTATGAATATCTAAATATGTAATTTGTACATATAATCTGCGATATAGAGGACAATTATTAAGTTATGTCTATTAAAAAAAATAGATTTATAACATCTTAAAAAAATTGACTTAAAGAAATTAAATAATAATATACATGTATATATGAGATATAATACCTAATACATGCCAATGTATTTGTCCCTCCGATATTCATAGCACAAGATCCACAAATACCTTCACGACAAGAACGACGGAATGTCAATGTTGGATCAATTTCATTTTTAATTTTAATTAACGCATCCAATACCATTGGGCCACAACTAGAGAATATATATTAAACACAATGAAGTAATATAGAGCATAATTCAGAGAAATATCTAAGACAACTAGAAAGAAACTTACGTATTTAGATCGATTTTATATTTCTGTATATATGGTTTCTCATCAGGCTTGTCTGGATTCCAACGGTAAATTGAGAAGGTTTTAAATCTGGCTTCAGCATTTTGAACTGCCGCAGTATGCAAAGCTCTGGCCTGTAAAATTTTATATGAAAATATTTTACAAAATCTGTTTTTGACACACTCAATTATTTGGAATTATAACAGAGGAACTACATATTAGTTTCTTTACGCCTTTATATTTATATATTATAAGAAAAATAGCTCTTAATTATCAAATTGATGCAAAAACTTGCTGTTGCGTTTGATCTAATTTTAAATACAAATATCGTAACGTTCGAAAATTTCAAAAGAAAAGCGACAAGTGCATGAAACTTTAATGACAGACTCATTATTGCAGAGCTGTGGATAGTTCGTTACGCATCAGGCATAAAAACTGATCGTAGTATCATGGTGAAAAACGTTCATACCGTCCTAATATCATCAACGAATCATTTGTTTTGTAACACTTACTTGGCGTAGCGCATTTCTGCAGATATACGGTGTCATTCCGACCATCTTTGAACAATTTGACATCAACACATTCATGATACCTGCGTTATGTAACTAGGATCTGTTCATTTGCGATTGACAGATGCTCCAATTGTCGGCAGAGAAACTAGGGAATCTCCAATGACATATGTATGTACATAAACTAAAAAGAGTAATTATTTAGAATATCCCCCCTCGCCGATTTTGATAAAATTAGGCTCAATTTCATTCAAAATAAAAGAATCTGTCAGAAAAACTTGTGAACCGAAATATTAAGTGTTAAATTAGCCAATTTCGAGGTTACGAAATCTGTCATAAAGGCACATAAAAAACTTAAGCAGTAAGATTTAGTAATAGTAAATGTCGGTCTACAATAGATGATTTAAGCTTTAAGAAGTAAGAAATTGGCCAATCGAATATGAGAAATGTAATCGACTATGAGTCCACTTGGTACTATAAATGTTTCGAAAATGTTTCGAAGCATTTTTTGATTGGTCAATTCATAGAATTTTTTGTTTTGATTGGTTAATCAAACAGAGAGCTTTGAAGCTTTTGTAGCGCTAAGTGGATCGTAGCCTATAATTGATCAATTTCTTACGGCTTAAAGATTAAATACCTATTGTGGATTGAGATTAAGGAAATCAACGTGGATTATGGATTTGCTACTGCTTATGTACTGCCTTACGTTCTCAATTGTGATTGACTAATTTGCTTATTGCTTTACGGTTGATTTATGGAGGCCGTAATCTGTTAACTTATGCCGGAATCGTAAAAAATTAACTAATCACAATCGAATTATAGAAGAATAATTGACCACAATTCGTCAATTTTTTACGGTCACGTCAATTTTTATAAGTTAATAGACACAATCTCCAGAAACCTTAAGTTTTTTATGTGCCACGGTCCTAATGCAGCGAACTGAGTATGCGCAATGGTCTCATTTGCATACTCGATGATCACACACGCATGCGCTGTGCAGTCAGATGCGCACGAAATTTAAACTTAATAATACAAAAATTATTATTTCACGATATATAAAAACAGCAAAAAATGTTTTTGTATCTATAAAGTATCATAATTTAACATTTTTCGAATACTTTATACAAATCAGGTAAACTAGCTAATATCTCGGTTCGCGGGGCAGAGCGATACTCTTTTCTGCCAGATTCGTTCGTTTTGTATTCGAATAAGCATAATTTTATCCATCTTTGCACTAAGAAGAGGGCTAAACTGAATAATTATCAAAAATTGTTAAAAAATTTAAATCAATAAACATCAATAATATTGACATTTCAATTCCGGGGCCTTGTGATCCAAAATCATGTGGCAGACGCATGAATTTTGCCAATCGGAAGAGGTTGATAATTTCCTCACGTTATTGACCGATCTGGTCTTCATCCGGGTGCATTAACGCTCTCTAGTTATTTCGTCTAGTTTTTTCGTCTAGTTATTTCGTTACGTTCATGAACGTATTGGATTATTTCGCCGAGCGCAGCCGAGAACGTTCGATAACGGCCGAACGATACCAAGGCGGCACGACTGTCGCAAAGTACGTCGGGAAGGAACGCACATCGATGGCGGAATAATCTCGTTTTGTTCGGGTATTTATCTGTATTGACCGTGTTAAGAATTGCTCGTAATGTACCAGTGGAGTTTGAACTGAACGTGGTGATCGTGGACGTTGAACGTTTGAGGTTGGTGTAGCTTCCAATAATTATCGATGATCAAATTGTCGCTACTCGTTTGGAATTCTAACCTAAGATTTCGCTCGTTGACCTCAAAAGTACGATCCCTCGTTGTGTTCGCGCGTTTTAAATGTTTTAAACTTTTACTTCTTTATGTCAGTGTTATTAATAATTATTAATTGATTTTAAACGTCGGTTGCTTCGCAACTACATGTAACCAAATTTTGAACTCATAGATTCAATTTGAATCAGGTCGCGTTGTAAACTTTGAAAGGATTCAATGGAACTGAGTTTATCAGATATCGCTAACGCGATATGACAGTAGTTTAAGTTTAGATAAAAATTTTTCATGAAGGTAACAATGTTTATAAAATTTAAAATGCATAATTTTTTTATCGAGAGTATGAATGAATAATGATGATGACAAGCTCAATATGTCTAATAATTTGTATATACCTGATTAATATAGGAATCAATCTTTAAATATGTTTATTTTAATTTCAGGTTCGTACTAAAAGCGACCAAAGCTCAACGCGCCCATCAGGCCCATTAAAGCCTCCCTGTCCTTGCGCCTAAAGCCCTGACGTGGCTCACGAGTTGGGCGCTGGGCCAGGCTGCGCTACGCCAGACCGGTGAGTTCCCACACAAAATATCGCTTGGTAGCACCGTGGGCACTCAAAGCCAACTAACCATGTCTGTACAAAGTGTTGCTCTGGCATCTCTCAACGCGACCTATACCGACTCGGAGGGCGAGGACGGGGTGGAAGACGAGCGCCTGCAGGAGGAGAATTCGAACACTCCCCAGGGGGCTGCCCCGCATAATGCCCAAGTCGGTCGTCAACCCCAGGCCCGATCTGGCACCAGTCCCATATCTGGAGGCCGTTCAGCCTCGCACAGTCCCGCCGTCGGCAAGTCTGCCGGTAGTAGCGACTTGCCGGAAGCGGCCACAAAGGTGCAGCGATTGGTCTCTTACTTTGACGATACGATAGTCTCCGATGACGAGGGGGCGGCCGCTGCTTTGCTGCCACTGTCAGTGCCGTCGGCGCCGTCGTCATCATCGTTGATGACGACGGGTGCGGCAGTTGCCGCGACGGTTGCGGAACGTCCTGAGGAGAATGGTCTCTCGGGTACGGCTGTTACTAGCATTGCCGTCACTTCCGCCACCACCGTCGCCGCCGCCACTGTCGTTGGCGATGGCACTGAGCGTCGGTCGCCCTCTTCTCGTCCTGGAGAATTGCTTTCAGATAATAATGGTGAGGCGGGGGACTCTTATGGGGTGACGATACCACCGGAACCGCCGGGCCAATGTCCCGCCGATCTACAGGATAAGATCACGAGACTATATAGGAAAATGGAAAGCGGCGGTCTGGACATGAATATGTTGATTCAGCAGCGCAAGGAGTTCCGGAATCCCTCCATTTACGAAAAACTCATTCAGTTTTGTAGCATTAACGAGCTGGGCACCAACTACCCGCCGGACAGATTCGACCCATTCAAATGGAGTAAGGACTCGTATTACGAGGAGCTTGCTCTAGTGCAAAAGACGGAGATGGACAAGCTCGAGAAGGCACGCAAGGAGAAGACGAAGATCGAGATTGTGTCGGGCACAGCGAAACGGCCCAACAGTTCATCTAGCAGCGCTGAAAATGCCGACGCCAAGAAACGGAAAAGTAAGTGGGACCAAGTGGCGACAGGTGGTGCTGCCGCTGCCGCGGCCGTCGCGGCTGCTGCTGCCGCTGCCGTGACCGCCAAACCCACAGTACTTCTCACACAACCTACCCTGACGACTCTCACGTCTGTTACTGGCACCAAACCTACCATTTTATCAGCCTTCGGCTCGTTACCGAAAAAGAGATTGTAACATATTGTGTAAATGTGTGTTATGTAAATAATGTCGATTAAGAAACATCCATCCCTTTTGCTAGACAGTTGTGAGGCTGTGGAAAGAAAAACACGATTCCGCCTCTGGAGATTTAGGTTCTTGGATAATTGTTGAAATTTTTTTAGAACAATGTACCAGTTTTGTACCAGTAGTAAATATTCATAAAACTAGGAGTATAAAAAGGCAAGAATACACAAAAGTCGTCATTATTGTATTACTAAATAATTAAAATAATATGAAGTCAAACTTTAAAAAATTTAATAATCGAAATATTTTAAACATTTAATAATTCATGAATTTATAAGAAAAAAATTCAACATCCATGGATCCATAAGCAAATTTTTTTAAACAATATAGTTTACAGTATTGCTACTATAGTATGAACAAAAAAAGGAACGATCATGAAAATTTATAACTTCATAAACCTTCATAAAAATTTTTGTAATTCCAAAAATATGGAGATTATTTAAAGTATTTGTATTTAAAAAGATTAATAGAATCAAGAGAAGATTCAACATTAATTTTTACAATTATTATTTCAAGAATACAAAAGGTCAAAATTCTATAAATTCTAAATCCAAGGATCTAAGAATCCAAGAATCCACCTTTATTTAGATGTACTGTAAATAATATTGAAAACAAATACCATCCGCTTGAGAAAGAAAAATATTCTGGAGATTTACATTCTCGAATTTTTAGGGTTTTGTATTTTTAAATCCTTACAGTCGAGATTTATATAGCTCCGTGGATCTTTAGATCTTTAAATCCGAATTTTTTAATTATGAGAAGTTCAGATATAAGATTTAATTATGAGTTTAAATACTTATAAAGATAAAGTTTTAGGAATCGAAAATAATAAATTATAATAAAATTCAACATTTATATATGTATATAAATTTGATAATTTAAAAATTAAAGTTTCAGATCTAAAAATTCAATTGTATTGTATTTCTAAGAACAAAAAACTTCAACTTAAGAAAAAAAAATGATTGGAGCTTTATTAACTTAGATCTTTAAATTGTCGACGTCTTTCAGAGATTTTGTATGTTTCGTGAAGATTTATTATGAAAAATACACAGAACGATTTAAAAAAAAGTTAATATTCTTTAAGTTAAAAATTTGGAAACATGTGATCTAAAGATCCAAAAATTAAAGGATTAAGAAGATTCGATTTGTGAGAATAATTAATAATTTATAGATTTGCAAATTTGAAAATCTAGGTATGAAAGATAAATTAAAAGATGAACGTATTGTAAATATATTTAGATATTATAATGAAATATTGGATGATATTAAAATTTTGGATCTAAAAATTAAATTACGTAAATATAATAACAAAATTTACGAATGGCTAAATAGAATATGAGATATTGTGCTATGTGAAAATTTAAATAACCATACTTTCAAGAAATGAAAGTTCTAAGGCGTATTTATATGTGTATGTTTGTGCAGATTTTTGAAATAAAATTCTTGAATATTCTAAGATTTTAGATTATATTTTATTTAGCCATTAATAAATTTCGAAATTATATTACTTTTAAATTCATGTATGTAAATGAACTTAAAAATAAAAATTCAAGGATTTAAAAATTTATCAAAACTGAAAATTCGAATAGGTATCCAAAGATTTAAAAATCAAGAATTTAAAATCGAATGTAAGAATCCAGAAAAATAGAGATTCGCGTACTGATAATCCATATATTCATAAAATAAATGCGCCATAAATAATTTATGCAGACGAAATAATTTTTCTACTGAGAAATGCTGCCACTTCGAATCTCTGTGAATAATAGAAATTATTTTATCTTAGTTTTTACTTATTTCTATATGTTTAAATATAAGTTATGATAGCGTTTATAATGTATATTTGATTAAATTAATGAAAAAATATAAATTGTAGAGAAAATTTATAATTATAAAAATGGGAGCTTTAAAGTAATATCACAAATTTCGATTTGCTTAAATTTTTGTTTATGGATTCTTGCTTTGTAGGATTTTTAAATTTTTGGCTTAGAATTTATGATTATGAAATTGGTATTTATTTTTATATACATGTGATTATGAGCAATATTCAAACCGGACTCGATCGATCTCTCGATTAAGATACAAATATTAGTTAAAAATATTGAAAAAATATAGAAAACGCGTTATTTATTTTTTTTTTTTTAAGAGAAAATATTGCTGAGAAAAGAGTAATTTTTTCATCAATTTCATTTTTCTTTAAAAAAAGAGATTTACTAATTAATATTATTTTCTTAGATATTGAAAGAGAAATGTCGATAGAAAATTACATTGTTTAATTATTAAGTATCATATTAGGCGGATTAAAAAATTCATTCTTTTTTAATGCGATTTGTACACTAACAGAGCAAATAAAAAAACCGAACGAATCTTTTTATCAACCTAATATGTGTAATTGTTATAAGTGTAAATGATGAATAGGCAGCGAGTATAAATGCAACATTACGATGTGATTAATTTATAAAAAAAAAATCATCTGATAGAAAGCATCTTAATTAAATATTAAGTCTCAGCGAGTGAGACAAATAGAGAATTTATATATGTTAACAATCGCAAAATTGATGTGAAACATGCGCTCTGATGATTTATAGTGAGAATTCAGTTTTTTATATGAAAAGAATAATGAAATTCTTCCACGAAAGGACTTTGTATATACACGCTCATGTGTCAATAAAGTACGGAATATACAATATATAAATTATACATATTGTGTATTTTTCGTTATTAATTGATGAAAACAATACACGATGATCTCTACAGTTGATTTATAAATTCATGATTCATGTCATTTCTAGAAATGTTATATTTTTAAACGTTATATTTTTTCTTTATTACAAACTTCATTTCCTTTTTATCAATTCAAGCAATTTGATTGTTATATTTGCGATTGCAAAATAACTTTATTTTTATTTTTTATGTCTATCAGTGTCTGTCAATTTTACTAATATTTAAACTTTATTTTCGTTTAATTTTTTTTTATCTTTTCTAATTTCTTAGAAGTAAAAAATAAGTTAACCTTGAAATTGAAGTTAATTCATATTTTGATAGAGATGAATGTCGATCGGGCTTCAAACAAATTAAAAAAAGCGCGTTGACTTTTTTGTCCATTTGACGTTTGATGGCTGATCGAGGATTCGCATTTTGAATCCTATTGGTATTTCGTTTTTTCCTAGGAAGCAGCCTAATAGGGATTTTTTTCCTTGCGGCAATACTGATGCCGTTCCCATCTCGGACTAGCAGCCAGCTTCACGTACTTAAATAGGTTATCTGACGTATGTCAAACCTCTTGTCAAAGAAATTTATTATTTAATCTGAGCGTGCGGGTGTTGTCGCTCGCGACATTTCGAGGAACGATCTGTCAGCTTTGCGCGCAAGTTGGAGGAATCGATCGACGAGTCGGCCAAACATGTGGTGGTAGTGATGCGCTTAAAGGGGAAAAATAACACAAAGTCGTTTAACAGCGTCTACAGGGTGCTTTCTCGTTTATGTCGTGAGTATCTCGCAAGATAATTCTCCAGATAATTAAATTGTCAAATTATTGGAATTTGTTTACAAATAAATAAATGTTACGTTACATAAATGCTATGTCGCATTTATCGCAATATATTTCGATTATTTTTTTTATCTGAAGTCTCGATAGTGTTGTAAGAAGTCCATAACTTTGATTTATCTAATTTTTTTTTTTATTAAAATATTGTACGTATTTACATTTATAATGAAGTCTTGGATTATTGTATGTTAATTTAAAAATAATATTCAATTTTCTATTGAGTTGTAACGTTTAAAATTAATAATTTGTGTCTGAAATCAATTAAGATTGATTTGGAATTATATTTATGTTAATATTCAATATTTTTGTGAATCTATATTTTAAACAATAAAAATTGTTTAACAATTCTTAAATTAACTTGAAATTATAGATTTTATGTTTTAGATGAATAAGTTGGCATATTTCCTACTTATACTTTTTTACATATGCAAATGTTTGATAGATTTTTATATCCCTGTGATACTAAGTTGAAACAAATTTATTATAATATCCATAATAATACTATTGTGTTGTTGTTTATGTGAATCAGCAGTATTTTCAAATTAATTTTTTGCAGGATCTGTGGATAAAGGACATCTTGATGGTTTCATGGCGGATGGTGTGGCGCCGACCGTGAAAAATGGCCACAATTCTAATACAGATTTCACTAATCAACCGGTAAAGCAGTCGTCTGATGTATCCAGTGTATCCAGTGTTGTTTATGCGGTGGGTCATTATCCCCCGAAGCTCCTGCACAATCTCAATGCACAGAGACGGGAGAACAAGTTCAGTGATGTGGGATTGGTAGCGGGCGGCAGAATCATTCGGGCGCACAGATCGGTTCTGGCCGCCGGTAGCGCCTACTTTAATGCCATGTTTACTGTCGGTCTGGTGGAGGAGCAACAGGAACTCGTAGAAATTCATTCAATCTCTCCTCACATTCTCTCCCAGCTGGTGGATTTTATCTACAGTGGCAATGTAGATATCACCCAAGATAATGTACAGGAGTTATTCGCTGCCGCCGACATGCTAGAGTTAGATGATGTAGTAGCCGGCTGTATCAATTATCTCAAACAACAGTTGCACTATTCTAATGCCCTTGGAATTTACAGGTAAGAATATAAGAGATGAAAATAAAATACTCAGAAGGAGAGCAAAAAAGAAATCTATTAAAAATCAAATATACAATCAAGCAATACAATCAAGTATAAGACTTACCAGATGTTGATATTTGTCATTGTTGCTCGATTACAGATTTGCGGAAGTACATAACAGACTGGATCTTTTGGAGACTGCCCTACGCTTTATAGAAGCCAATTTTCCTCAAGTCTGTCAGGAAGAGGAATTTCTGGATTTGCCCAAGGAGCATCTTGTTCAGTTTCTCAGTAGTGATTACATTCACATCGATACTGAATGCCAGGTTTGTTATTCCCTGAGCGAATAACGCGAATATGTAACTACAATTTCACATATTTGAAAAGTACATTAAGTATGACGTATGAAAATTACGTTGTTTTTCATTTTCTTCAGGTCTTCCAGGCTGCGTACAATTGGATCGTTCACGACATCCCCGCACGGAGATGCTATGTATTTGAGATCCTCGGCCACGTACGCTTGCGACTGTGTTCATTAGCAAGGCTAGAGCGTATTATCCTAGAATGCAAGGACGCAAGTCTCATTGTTGCGTTGCGATCTATACAAAAAGATCTAGTCTCGAACAAAGGTTGCCTGGTGCCTCTTCACGCTCAGCCCCGGGTCTGCGCTAGGAAGAATATTCTGGTAATCGGCGGATCCAAACGGGAGCATTCTGCAGATAGCTGGGGTAGAACCGCCGAGAGTACTTACGAAACCATCGAGAAATATGACATATTCACTGGGTATAACGGCAACTCCTTTTTTGCCAGTTTAATAAAACTCGACCGATTTCTTTATTATTTCTTTGTTATTTAAGTTAAATCTTTGAGAAAAAAATCTAAAAGTATGTTCATATTTAAGCATTATTCGAATTTTGCTTGATGATCTTTTATTCCTTTTTTTTTTGTTTGCACAAATTTTTACATTTTGTAACAAAAGCCTTTTTGAAGAAATAAATCTTACTTTGCTAAGTTAAATCTTGCTAGATAAGAAGAAGTAGAAACAAAATCTTACTTTTCCATTCAATGACTATTTCTCCAGAGAATGGAGCGAAGTGGCTCCGATCAGTATAGGACGTATTCTACCTGGAGTAGCTTTGTTGGACGGAAAGGTGTACGTTATCGGCGGTGAACTGGAATCCTGCATAATTGCCAATTGCGAGTGCTACGATCCTCGCGACAACGTGTGGACTCCCATCGCTTGTATGGAAGAACCTAGATGTGATTTCGGTCTTTGTGCCTTGGATAATAGCCTGTACGCGTTCGGCGGATGGGTAGGCGAAGATATCGGCGGTTCCATCGAAATATATGATCCGATCTCCAACACGTGGACTCTTGAGGGCTATCTCCCGGAGCCACGGTTCAGCATGGGTGTCGTGGCATATGAAGGTAATTATTTTGGTTTTTCTGGAAAAAACTCCAATTATTTTAAATTCAATACAATATCGTAATCAATCATATTACTTTTACATCATTTACATTAACATAATTAAATTTAGATATCCTTTCTTTCTCCTGATTTGGCGATAATAAAAGCATGACAAAATACATGTTTTAAAGATACATATTTCAATTTTAACTTACAAATTTTTCATAGGACTAATTTACATTGTGGGTGGCTGTACTCACAACAGTCGACATCATCAAGACGTGATGAGCTACAATCCCGTGACTAGAGAATGGAATTACTTGGCCCCCATGATTACACCACGCTCGCAAATGGGAATTACGATTCTCGACGGATATATGTACGTTGTTGGCGGCACCAGTAAAAATCAAGAGGTTTTAACATCAGTCGAAAGATACTCTTTCGAAAAGGTAATTTATTTTCATCTATGTTATTGAATATACCATACAAATTTTTCTATTATTAATGATAATAAATAAATGATTGATCTGAATTCATCAAAAAATTTGTTAATATTTCAGAATAAATGGAGTGCCGTCGCTCCCATGAGCATGGGTAGATTTTATCCGGCGGTTGCAGCAGCCGACAGTCGACTATATGTCATAGGCGGCGATCAGTCCCAGGAGATCAATTTCTATCGCACACAGATTACAATCTCTACTGTCGAATGTTATGATCCACACACGAACAAATGGCACGAGTGCGCCTCTTTACCGTCGAGTAGAGGTGAAGCTACAGCAATCGTTGCGCCTTTTTGATTGCTATTTCGTGGAAATCTATTTATCGTTCGATGTATTGCTTCATGCCTTCTTATTTTTTTAATATGTTTCCTTTCTTTCGATATCTATTCTATCTTTACCAACAGCATTGTGTATCCATTAGATAGATAGTCGCATTGCTAAAGAAATAGTCTTACTAATTTCTGAATATTCCATTGGCATTTTTAGATACTTAAAAGAGACACTACATATTTTGAGGGATTTTTATTACAGAAGATTGTTTTCTTTTTTCTTTTTTTTATAGATATACAGCATAATCATTAACTAATAAGAGTTACAAGATTGAAGAACTTAAGAAAGAGATGGAAGGAACGAAAAAAACTCTAACTAAATCCGAGTTTTTTGATGTATTTAGAATTTGATATACAAAGATCAATTTTGTTTAATTGGAAAGTATTTAAGATTAAATATTTGCGATCTAAATTCGAATTGTGTAAAAAATTTAAAAAAAAAATTCAGTGAAAGATCTTAGAATAATATATGTTAATCGGTTTTGATATACAAATGAATATTAAATGGACGTTTAAAAATAATTGAAAACTGAGTCTAATGATCTAATCGTCTTTTTAATTTATATTTTAATTAAATTAATATTGAGATTTAAAGAAAAAGCAAAATAACGTATGGTAACATATATCATGCAAGAATATTTCAATACTTTTGAAAATTAATGATGAGTATTAAGTATTTTATTAATTAACGATAATCATTAAGTATGTTAGGAAGGACTGAGCCTCTTTATATAATATAGTCACATACCAAAGTTATCGTAATTTTTAATCGTATCACTACAAGTTAATAGACTCGTTAAGCATAATATGTCTAAGGGATTATATAAGATAAATCCAAAGATCCTTGGAGCATATAAGAATTTAAGGGTATAAGGATCTTGAAAAGTCGAAAAGTCATAGAAAGTCATAGAATTAAAAAAATTCTACAATCACAAAATTTAAATGCTCAAATCTTAAAATTCAAAGAAATAAAAATTTGAAATTAAAAATTTTAACTTATTACATGAAGATTACAATTTTGAAATTATTTTAAAATTTTCGATTGGAAGGCCCAAAAAAATTAATTGGCATTTAAAAATTCTAGATATTGTAGTCTAAGAAACATAAAAACATTTTATGTTTTATGACTTTATCATGTGAAAGTTTTTGGAGCCTTTAACCCTTGGCGTTTTGGAATTTTGTGTCCAAAAATTCAGAGATTTCAGAGTACCTTATTGTAATAAAATAACGATGTTTCTTAATTAGCCTGTATACGAAGCCGCGAGTCCAATATTTTGTAAAGTTTAAGACCACATTTTATAAAAACAATCTAAGAATCGAGGAATGATCACCATTCTCTATAATTAATCGTCGATGTAACAATTCAATTTGCCTTTGTTTGAAGGTATTCGGTGCTATATACGTGAACATTCGCAAAATGATATTCAATTATTTGCAAAATTTTTAGTATAGGGTAAATATGGATGAGATGACCTTATTCAGCAATCTTATTGATTATAATCGGAATGATTAAAAAATTCTTGATTTTGTCATATCTCTTTCTTTGTTGCAAGACAAGAAAGGAAATAAGATTAATTTAACTGTTCTGCACATTTCTTTATGTGTAAATTTTTAAATCCATAAATTGCTAAATTTATTGAGATCTATGTGTCATGTAAATAAATATAAAAAACTTAAAGACAACATATGAATTTTATATCTAGTAATTACAAATAGATATATATCTATAGATACAGATATTTTAAAAAATGTAGATTTTGAGATATACATAATGACGTCTTTAATTTTATCTGATCCTAGATTTTCACAAAGATATCGAACAAACAAATCAATGAAGAATTCATGACAAAAGAAGTTTATGATTTCTAGAAGAAAATTTTAAAAGTTTATAGATAATATTTAAAACATCTATAAATTTGAGGATTTATTTAGACATAGATTAGAAAAATATAATAATAAATCTAGTAAATTTAATAACTTATGGATTTATAGTGTACATATAAGATTTATTTTTGTAAATTTTTATATTTTTATATTTTTCCTTTTTTTTAAGAAAATTTTTAAAATAATTAAAACAATGGGCATCTCTCTAGCACGTTTATCCTTTCCAAGCAAAAATCATTAAAAGAAAGTTAGAAAATGATAAATATGCAACAATTTATGTATATTTGTGATTAATCAATAAAAATTGCTAAAACCGTTCGCGTTCTTATTTCTCATTTAGAATTTCGAAAAATTTAATTAATCTTTTTCAATGATAGGAAACTATTTACTTAATTTTTACACATTTTTATAATAATATGACCTTCTTAGCAGGGAATATAAGAAAATTATTTACATGATCATTTTTTATTTGATATTTTACGCTTATCGAACGAAATATGTTGTTGATAAATAATATTCATCTTCAATAAAAACAATAACTCACAAAAGTGATCTAATATGTTAAAAAGTTAATTGGGATCAAATTATTTCGAATTATTTAGAAATGCATTATTTATCATTTATCATTTTAATAATGTACAAGCCATGAAAATTTATTTTATCTGTTCTATTTTTTTCTATTTTCCTTTAATTACATTTAAAACCTATGTAATTTTTAAAGTGATTGCTCACATACATAATTTCATATACTTACATTAAATCATTATATTATAAATAACATACTGTTCGATCAAGTAGAAATAATGAATTCAGATATGATTTCTCTAAGAATGTTAATAATGAATATTTTTATTAAACAACTTTCTGTTGTCAAACCACAATAAAATTCAAAACTTAGAATAGTTCAAAACAACATCTCGAAAAACTCTATGCAGAATGAAAAATCCAGAAAAAGATTAAAGATCTTTAAATATTGATTAAATATTGATACAAATTTCAGAATCCAAGAAACTTAAAAGGATCTAAAATAATAAACTATAATCTAACATATTTTTATAACGTGTGGATATTTTCGATTTCAAAAATCAATATCTACACAAGTAATAAAATATAAAACATAAATTATTGTATTATTCTCTTTCGTTTCTTCATTCAGACTTCTTTCTTAGATATCAGAAGCAACATCATAATGCACGTGGCTGTTTCTAAACATATTCTGGAATAATGAACTTTTTCATATTTTAAGTGCCAATTTCGAAGAAAACTCGGAATTTGCTTAAATTCATCTTTTTATAACGATGATTCTTATATGGATACTTAAGAGGTATAAGAACCTTATTACAAGTGTCTTATTGCTGCAAGTTTTCTATTACAATATATAATCCAATTCATATCTAATGTATTGATTCTTTGGATCATTCATGATGCGAGGATAACCAGCCACGAGAGCATCCTGTCCACCGATATAAAGAGAATTGTATATCTTCCAATAGACGTCGCGAACTTTACGAGCTGGATGGAATAAACCCTGTAATAGAAGACATAACGTATATAAACGATGTACATACATTTGTCGAAAGTTGGAAGTGTATTCGTGCAAAATAATCACGTACCTGTAATGTATACTGTAAAATTTTAATTGGTCCAAGCGCGACACGTAATCCGTCTACAGCGTCCATAAATGCTTGAACTAAGTGTGGTGAAGTCTCGAAAACGTTTGGCCATACATGATTCAATAAATGTATTAATGCATCCTCGCATCCGAATCCGTAGACACCTAATGCCATGTGTTTAATAGCGGCGCAGGCGGTTTGTCTGTGTACTAGATCTCTATAAAGCACAAGAAAGAGATAAATAGATTGATGAGACATAATTTGTAAGATTAAATGAGTTTCTTTTCAAAAAAGCTTTAAATGAAAGAGAAAATAAAATATATGATTGCAATTAATAAAAATATCACACTATATTTTGACGTTTTACCTGTCCATAAGTGCATCTTCTAGCAATGGACTGACAGCGTAAATATAATCTTTGCCCATCTCGCCGATATATTCAAATAGGAACGACAAAGATTTCAATACTCCATTTTGCACATTTAATTCGGGTACTCGGTATTCATTCATCAATGCGGGTAACACTGTGAAAGGGCTGCAAGTCTCAGCAACGATAGCAATAGCCACTGTGGTACAAACACGATTCTGACGCTCTTGAACTTTCAGATTATTTAAAAGTGTCGCCAAAACATCATGCGGTCTGTAAGATACAAATATTACATATAAATATTTTTTTTTCTCTCATATCTAGAAAAAAATTGAATTATTAATTAAACTTACCCAATAGCTTTGGCAATATAGCCAAAAGTATTTACTGTAGCTCTTCTAATTGCTTTTTTATGCGCTTTTAATAATTCCAACAATTCAAAGCATATTCTCATCCATTCCCGAGCAGAGACGTACTCTGGTCCACGATCTGCGATTCTGCCTACGAGATCAATACAATTTTCTTGCACCTATAATGAAATCAATGGAAAAAATTAAATTCAGTAATAAACACTAAAAGAATTTCAAAATGCACGCGTAAAAAGACTCGATCAATTTTCATTTCAAGAGAATTTCTTTTTCACGATTTATGTTAAATTGCAGATAACTATCGATCAATGCAAACCTTTTCATGTCTGTTTTTCAGAATGGGTGTGAGCCTTGGTAACAAATCCTTAATAGGTGGTGTCATCTTTGTCATACCTATGACATTAACAATAGCCTTTAACGCTCCTAAAATGCTACCTAGTACCTCTGGATATTCTTCGCCTAAATATTCATACAAAACGACTCCCAAATGTCCCATTAGTTTTTCCTGAAAATATCGTACGTTTATTTTTTAAGTTCTACAAATCAAGAAATTTACAAAAACCTTACCTCTTGACACGTCTTCATAACTACTGCGATGCGCGAAATAAGATCAGCAGCTTGCTGTCGCACTTTTGCAGATTTGTTATTTAATCGCCACAATATTGTGCCACATATTTGGGGAAGATATGCCTTCACCCTTTTGCCTAATGTGTTCACAATCGTTCCAAAACCGTTCAACATAACAACATCCTACAAATAAAATTAATTTAAGTTAGCATGTACTTTGTTAATTAGTTTATGATTTTATATATATAATAGTTTCTAATTTATTAATTAATTAAACCTCAGTAGTCTGTTCTTGGAAAGCGTATAAAATTCCATCGATGAGCTGTTCCTCTAGACGCGAATCGACATCCGCTGCTCCTAAGTTGCCCATTATTTTCTCGATAGTTTCCATTACCATTTTTCTGTATTGCTCATTTTCGTCCTTTAAATCGTCCACTACTCTGTTAATAATCTCTGATGCGCCCACTTTATTGGCTATTTCTACTGTCGTGTCCACAAGCTGAAATTTCGTTTACATTATTAAATATGTAATTAAAAAAAAAAATAAATACACACACACACACAAATATATTCTATTAATAATATATATTAAAATATTTTTCAATTATCTGATACCTGTCTGTAATTTCTGCGATCCAATGCCATACGATGATTCCAAAAATGTTTAAAGAAGTGAGGCAGGATTTCATCCTTTATGTATTGAGCTTCTACACCGTCTGTTGCACAGCATTGTTTGACCACCTATTTTTTTAAAAACAATTTATTCAGGATGTTAAAAAGCTTAGATACAATAATTAATCCATAATAATATATTATTACATAAGTAAATTTTTGTATATATCTTTATTTCTGTAATAAATGAAATTATCTTACCTTCAACACAATTTTCTTCATTTCTTCATCAGGAGACTGGAATTCACGTATAAGAATTAACATTACTTCCCTAGTATAATAATTCGCATATTCCGCGTCCATCAAAGGGATGAGATAACCAATAGCTTTTAGAAAAGCTGCTAAACCTTTTCCTCTATGTGTACGGATACCTTTCCATAGTGGTTTCAATACAGAGTCAAAACTTTCAATGCCATATGGTGTTGCTGCTTCAGCAAGTGCAGCGATAGCTAATGCTGTAATTGTTCTTACTTTCTGCTGTTCATCCACCAAACCTGTAATATTTCGAACCGTGATTATTCTTCTTGACAATAATTAAGAAAAGAAAAAAACACAGAATTGAAAAAAATAAAGACTAAACAAAAAATTAAATGGCAAATGGCATGTTGATTTCATTTACCATGTTCTATAATTTCCACTAAACTCTTCAGGTGTGGTAAAATGGCGCACCCCATCAAAATAGCTATTTGTTGCACGATCTTAATACCAGTATGTCGTGCCTGCCAGGATTTTTTGCTGCGACAAACAGCTTTTAAGAACGGAAGAAGCGAAGGAATTCCGAGGGCGGATGCGACAACTGCAAAAGCTCTTGCCGTTGTGTTACGTACATATTCATCGATGTTATCAATATCAGGTCTCATTGTAGAAATCATCGTAGCCAATCCTGCAGCTTTAGCCAAATTAGAAATAATTTCTCTACCTTCGACTCGAGCATAGTAATCTTCATCAATCAATAGAGGCTCAATGACGACTAGAATCTAAACAGAATAACAATAATTAAAGCTAAAACTATATAAAACAATAAATAATTAACAACTCAATAATAAAAGATTATTACCTTGTGTACATATGGTCGCACCAAATCGTCCAATTTATATAAAATACGATCAATGACTTTAACCAATAAATGACGTTCTTGATCCTCAAGCGTAGGTGACATTAAAAGCGGTAGAATTTGATTAAACAACGGTCCAGCTCCAAATTCTCTCGCCTTGTCAGTGATTTGTCTTAAAGCGGCTTTACGCATCGGAGGAGTTCCATTTTTTATTTTTAGGAGCAATTTCATGATCTTTCTTTCCTTTTGCTCTTCCGGACTCAATGTTTCTTCGTCTACGTCAACCAATAATTTGTCGAAATATTGCGCGTCTTCTGGCTTCATAAATGGCAAATTGCCCTTTGGTTGATTATCCACGTACTTCGCACTCTTGTCTTCTGTTTGAATGAAGAAACCTTGAGGTGTACCGGCGATAGGCGTAGGCGTCGCAGTGAGCTTTCTAGCAGGTGTGCGAATAGGAATATATCCTAAAAAAAATATAATTATATAACTATATAATATATATATATAATACTCCAATATAAAATTTAATTTTCTTGCTACTCTCACAAAATAATTTCGACAATTGTTATAGATTTTAAGATTTTAGAATCTTAAAATCTATAACAATTAGTTTTTTAATTTCCTAAAACATAGATTTTTTTTATCTACAATATTAATATATCTACAATATTAAACAATAACACTAGAAAAATATTCCATTCGCATCTCACCTGCGGGAGGTTGTAAGATCTTGTATCCAGGAGGAAACAATGCATCTAATTCGTCGTCCGATAGGGGTCTGTTTCGCTCGTCTATCTCGCGTTCCCAACGATAAGCCTGCAGCTGTTCAGGTGTCATGGACATCAAATGTCCTGGAGTCGGAGTAGCTAGACCCATTGCCTTGGGTCCTGTCGGCGTGACGGCGCTTGGGGTCAATATCGTTGTCTGATGGGGTGTCGCAAGAGGCGTCGCCGGGGTTTGCGGCGTCATCGATCCTGGTGTTTGATTTGATGGCGTTTCGTCCCATCGACTTCGTCTTTTGCTTGCCGAGGGTGTCGGAGTTTCCTGTATCAAATCCCCAGCGACTCGATCGGTCCTCGGAGTTTCCGCCCAACCGCTGCTGTGTCCGGGTGTTTCTATAAAATTTTTAACAATATATTTATATATTTTTCAATATCACCCCAATCATAAAAATCTATATTAATGTCAAATAAATTTAATTTTTTAATCATAAAGTTATTATTAATGGAAATATTAAAATAAATAATTTTGTAATTACATTTACAATTATTTTCATAATTAGATACATAAAACAATAAATATAATGTATGTAATTCAACCTCTTTCAGTTTTCGGAGTTTCATCCCAACGATTTCTTCGGCTTGTTACAGTTTTCTCGTGAGAAGGCGTCTCTCTGCCCGGAGTTGCAGCTCCTGGTGTCGCGTGTGCTGGCGTGGCATCCCACATTCTCGTACTTACTCCTGGAGTTGCTCCGGGAGTTTCTGCTCCTTTACCATGACCTGGAGTTTCGTCCCATCTAATTGCAGCTGGTGTTACCTACAACAGTTAGGTGTAAAGATGAAGAAAATGATTTTAATAAAAAGATTACATGTAAAAATAATATAGCAAACATACATCTGCATTATCCCAAGATGTAGGTGTTGCTGAAGCACCAGATAATTTTTTCTGCACTGGAGTGTCATCGGTTTGGTCCCAGCGACCTCTCTTCTTAGGAGCTGGTTTAGGTTCACCATTGGCTTTCAAAGTACCATCTTTTGCCTTTTCTGCTAATCTTTTTCTCAGCTAAAAATATAAAATATAGATTCTTTTGTCATAAAAAATATACTATATATTACATATCTATATTTAAATATCTTTTACATAATATATCTAGAAAACATAAAAATTCAGTATACCTCTGTCTCTTCACCTTTGAGCATTTGCTCCCGCATAATTTCAGTATATGTTCTGGAACCAATATCAGGTGTCTTACCACCTGTAAATAAAAAAAAATTATATCATAGTTTTTAACAACTAGGCAAATGCATATATGTTTAATAAATATTTATTATATTAATCAAGTTATTTATTACTTTATTACAGCAATCAATGTTACTAATTCCAAAAAAAAAAATTATACCAACCTTCTGCAAAAAGATCGACACGTTCAGGAGAAATAATCATTCTACGTCTTTTCTGCCTGTATTCATCCTCCCTGTCAGCAATAGTAGGTCGTCGTCTGTCTGCAAATGGATCATAATCCTTCTCTTCTCTGTCAGCTATGGTGGGTAATCGTTTGTCCGCAAACGGATCATAATCCTATTCACATAAAGACTTACATTAATTTCAAAATCTTTATCTGTTTACTATAAAAAAGTCTATATATTGAAAGTTTTTGTTTTCTATTTATTGAATTTGTTTTAATAAAAACAAAAACAATAAATTAAAAAAATTATATTAATAATTAGATTTTTTTAATATCACAGATATTTTAGAATATATTGTAACGAAATATCCATAATACCTCGATTTCATCATTGGTTGCAATCGATGTAACATAACCATCAAATTTATTGTTGCTGCTATCATATATGTCTTGATCATAAAAACCAGTTTTTCCCAAAGCAACCTGTTCTTTCTCGGGCACCGTATTCAAAAGCTCCTTCTTCTTCGACTGTATCTCTCTTATCTGTGCTTCAATATCTGCAACATAGATCAATATAAAGATAAAATTGTACAAAAGCTCAAACTTGATTATAAGACATTACGAGTGGCACAAACGTAAAACAAGAAGAAAATATCACGACGGAAGGTCGACTGTTCGATTGATTCGACAACTTGGACAGTTGAGGCTTTGCATCTCAATAAATTTGACATCCAATCTAGAGACGCAAAATATCTCATTAATTAGCTCGGCTAACGAGAGTCAATGTTTACAGTTTCCGTAGGGCAGAGCTCCGCTAAGAACCGACTCGTTTTCGGATAATACTTATTCCGCGTTCAAGTTTGTAGGTGTGATCAACGGAAACTAATTGAAAAGGTGTTAGAGCGAGAAGAAGTACCTTTGTGCGTCCTCGGGATGGAATCCATCGTGATGCAGAAGCCTCGCGAATGCGGCAAACACGACGAAACGCACCCGACACGCTGAATTTGCAACACGTCGGATTGGCTGATTAAGAGGACGCACCGAATGCTCCAAATTTATCAATGCGCTCCGCGCGACAGCTGATCGAACTTCTTGGAATTATTTATCGGCAAAACTAGTCAATGAATTTGTAATTGTATTTTAGATTTGTCGCGTTGCTTGTGCACTCCCCCTATCTTTTTGCATGTAAAGCGAAATGGACATATGTTGAAGGGAGAAAAATGCGAGCGCAAAAAGTGCAAGCAACGTGAGCACGAATCTGATACATCAATTTACGATATAATTTTTTAAATTAGATTATCGTTGATAAACTAATTAAAATAAAAGTTGAGATAAAAAATTTTCATTTGGAAAGAGATGAAAAGTTAAAATTTATTTTAAAGTAGTTGATTAAAATTAAAAACTAATTTTATTTGAAATTAATTAATAAAGGGTGCTTGCATTTAGTAATACAAATGACACAAACTTATCTTTTTTGATATTTAATGAATAACTAGGACAAAACAATATTTATATCAAAGAGAAAGCTTCTCTCTGTTTGTGTCGACTTGTGATCACTAAATGGAAAGCATCCAAAGTTAAAAATTATCAACTTTTTAACTTTATTACATAACTTTTTGGTTTTATATAAGTTAATAATAATTAATTAACATAGTAGTTTCACATTTTTATTTATATTACATTATGTAAAGATTGCATGCATATAAAATAATATTTACATTAGATTATATAAAAACTATATGTATATGAAATAATATTTACGTTATAATACTTTATTTTTGTGATAAATTACATTAAAAATTATACATATTGGACTGCCACGTATCATCCGTGATTCTTCGTGTTCCCGCTGGCGGCGCCACAGCGCTGCCCTCGACACGGATAGAGGAGTTACCCGTCTCATTAGCAGTTCGTCAATCACCGACCCGTTCAATCTTCGCCCGCGTAAGCGCGAGAAATGTCGCGACTGCTCGCGAAGTGCGTGAAACCGTGTTCGCGTCCCGTCCGCGCCCGTTGCACGCGATAATATCCATCTCGCTGTCTCTCGTACCGCCCGTTCGGCCCGGACGGCTGCGTTATCACGCGGAACGCTCGCTTTTCCCCAGCCGCAATTTTCACACTCGCGAGAGTGATGCACTGTGGGCCAGCAATGGTGGGCGCGTGATTTTGAACAATTCGAGCTATCGAAGGAACGCGCAGGTACGTGTTTACCGGACGACGGGATACGCGCGACGCTGATTCTGCGCCGCTTCCTCGGGACGTCCGCCGTCCGGGATATCAGCCGACGGACGGGATCGAGGTGCCGCGTCGCGGATCACGGTCCGTGATTTCCCTCGATTCGACCCTCGGCTCGGTGGCCGCTCGTCCCCTTCCCCTCCCCCTTTCCCACGTCGCTCTCTGCCGATCGCGGAAACTCCGTTTGAGGTTAGGTCGCGCGCCGTTTTAGCTTCGCGCCGTCGCGCGCGACAGCCTCCGCGACGTTCCGCCCGTCGCCGTGTCACGCGTCGTGGCGCGGACAACTCGTCGGACTGGCGCCGTCACGCCGCCCACGAACGAATTGTCGCGTGCGCGCTCGAAAATCCGCCTCGCAAAAATGGCGCGTATCGCCGTGAAGTCATGGCGCTGATGTTCCACGACGGCTTCGCGCGAGGAACTCCGTTTATTTCCTTTTTTTTTCCTCCCTTTCCTTTCCCTGCCCTGGTCGATCTTTCCTTCTTGTCCGGCGCGTTCGAATCCGTGTCCCCGCGTTCAACGTATTCGAATCGCGCTCGCGGCAAATTTCATTCGAGTGAAACACGATCGACGATTGTCCCGCGATTTTTCAAAAGGCGCAACTCCGTCGGATTTAAAATCACTCCCCGGTTTCGAGCGAATGCTTGATTGTTGACCACGTTGACAGCGAGTGACGAAATCGTGGCGAAATCGTGGCGATTAGATTACAAATGATCGAAGCCGTCGATAGATCGTGCGTTTGAATAAGTAAACAAAATTCTGTTTTTGTGGTAAAGTGAAATAAATGTTTGGACTCTTTTTTTTGTCTCTTTGACGATCGTGTATACATGTGCGTATGTCATCATTGTTTAATTAATTATATTTATCTCAGTAACATTAGTCAACATTTTTCACGTAACTTTATGATAAATTTTTTTATCATTTAAGAATTAATCTCTACAAATTTTTAAATAATACATAAAAAATATGCAAGTTAAAGTTTAATGAAAAAATTTTTGTTTTGACTGCTCATTTTATCTCACCTTTTAGTAATAGTTTTTTTTTATACAATCAAAAAGAAATGAAATATAAACAAATGTTGTATTTCTTAAGTTTAATTGTTGGATTATCATTCAATAATTAATATTCTGTCCAGGTATTATCGTCATGTCCACTAATAAAGGACAAAATGCGAGAGCTCTAGTGGAGCCTCTGGCTTTAGATTCGCGTACGTTAGGAGATGGCGATCTCAGTGCACTGAGCTTATCTCATAGTGGCGAGCAATATACATCGAATGATTTTGATGACTTTGCAAATATTCAAGCAGAGTTGGAGTGTATAAATCCAGAAAGTGTTATGACAGACGACGACCGGATAGTACTCGAGCGGAATATTGAGACTGAAACGATAGTACCTGATGTGGAGATGACTGAAATTTCCGAGCAAGTACAGGCTGAGCACATTTACACAATGGCCAATCAGAATAGCCAGAATATTGTGTTCCAAACGAAGCCCACATTGCAGAGAGTACCTGTGTCGGCGGTTCAGGTAATATTTCTAATTGCAATTTCAGCGCATCGTTTATATGGAACATCTCGTTCATGATTTGCTCCTTTTCCAGATGAAACCAAATCTCTGCCAGACCACACAAAGTCAGTCGATTATGATAGTGTCGCCTGCAAGTGGACAAGGCACTAGCCAAATACTGAAGATATCGCACCCACCGACGGCTTCGGCCGAACAATTACAGTCTTTAGCTCAGACTCTAATTACTGGCAAATCTGCAGATGGAAGCGTTGTACAGTTGAGAGCCACTCAGCCCACCAAGTCCATCGCAACAACTAATGCCTCTGGGAACATCACAATCAGTAATATGCAGAACGTTAAGATTTCGCAGCCACCGCTGAAACGAACGACACAGAACGTTTCACAAGGACGTAATGTAAGATATAGATACTTGTGTGTATTTTCATGAGAGAAAGAGAATGAACTCCATAACATATATTTTTAATAATATATTCTACAGGTATATACGAAAATGATATTAACGGGTAATCAATCACAATCTGGGACTCAACAGGTTCTCATCACGACCTCGCAAAGCGAGAATCAATCGACTCAGGGAATTAAATTTATTAATAATAGTTCTACTTACGGCAGCCCTACGAAAAATATAACATTGACACAAATGGGCATACTGTCTACCAATAAACAACATATTTTACCATCGTCTTCTCCGAAGCAGGTATGCCTTGAGTTAAAATATCAATACATTAAAAACTATCGTATAAACGATAATTGTTACATATTCATTCTTTTTTTCACAGGGTATGATATTGAACAAATTGTTACAATCTTCGACATCTCAACCATCAAAGGTGACCATAGTACCAACAAATACTGTAAAATCACCAACAAAAATTCTTCCTGCACCTATGACTATTCAAGCTAAATCTTCGACAACGACAAATCAACAGCCAACATTTGTCTCGACCAAGTCAACTGTACAACAAAATCCGAAAGTGATCATTAGACAGGTTGGAAGAGTTAATTAGGAATTATCAAAATAATTCAAAATTTTCAATTTTCTTTTAAATCCTTTCCTAATAAAATCATACGCAAAAATTCTTTAGAGTTCTTTGAAACCTGGTAATGTACTTGGAAGTGGACAGGTCATTAGAATACCTGCCAACCAGAATATTGTGACTGGATCAAATCAAGTTCATCAAATTCAAATGTCCGGAAGACAAGTATGTTATTTTATAATTCATTCATAGTTGATTAATCGCGGATATGTATGTCTGTTATATTTGTGCCATTTTTTTTTAGGTGCAATATGTGAGATTAGTTAGTACTCCTTCAACAGGATCTACTAATGTCGTTACCGTAGGCAAATCGAAGGCTAACACGACACTTCAGACTGTAGGTATCGGTCAGAAAATAGGAAATCAACAACAAATCGTAAAGGTATATAAAAACTCATTAATCTCATCACCTGTGCTTCTCTGTGAGTAAAAGATCGAGAAAAAGATAATCATATGTGTGTATTTTCTTATTATTCATCTCGAGAATTGAAAAAATATTAAAATTAATGAGACGCATTAGTTTACAGTATTTCAGATGTTATCTAACATGACAAATGTATATTGCATGACAAGTGTTTTTTTCAATTAGGTTGTACCGCTGAATACCGGAAGTCAATCTTTGCGGACCGTTGCCCCGAAGGCAACGCTGACAACTAGTAGTCAAAAATTGCTTATACCGACAGCGACTGCGGCTGCTGTTGGCGGTCAGTCGAAGAGTGCAGTGGCAATTCCCGCGTCAGCATTGAGTCAGTTAGCGTCGGGACAAGCAGTTTTGTCAACCACTCCGAATGTTGGAAACATCGTTGTTCTACCTGCTCAATTGATTCAACAACAGGTTCGATTTTTATATCTTTGATCTTGTGCATTCTTTTTACACACTAATATTTAATTCAAGAATAAGATTAAATGATATGAAATTCTGAGAAAATATCGAGAAAATATCGAAAATATTTATTGTCATATAAATTTTTTGGGAACGTGCTCATTTTCTTAAACTTACGATAATAAAATTTTATATTATATAAAATATTGTTATTCTGCCGCAGTCAACAGATGAAGTAAAGTTGAAGTCCCTCCAAACAGCACCAGGTCTCTTGGGAAGTTCGCAAAGTTCTACAGCAACTCTGTGCGTGATTGAGGGAAAGAATTCACAAAGAGGAGTTTACAGTACTGTAGAACCGAACGGAATCAGGCCAAGAAAGCCGTGCAACTGCACGAAATCACAGTGTCTTAAGCTGTAAGCATTTCATTAAAAAATTCTATAGCATCTAAAAAATTTATGAATTGAAATCATTTTAATATTTTTGAACAAGAAAACGTTTTCACAATAAATATTTTTATTTAATTAATTAAAATCAATTTGTAAATAATTTATAAATAATTTGTAAAGTCTTTTATATAGTAGGCTTTGGATTTTTACTTTCTTTTGTTATTTGTCGTGTGATGTAATTGACAGAAACATTTTTTTAAGAAAGTTCATTAAGATATATGTTCTTTACGAAAAATAATGAAAATTTGAGTAAATTTAATTGAAGTAAATGTAGAATATTATAGAAAAATTAAAACTTTAAATAAATTTCTTATATAACAATCTAGATGTAATTTATATTATTTAGATAAAATCTAAATAAAAATTTGTATATTGTAGTTATTGCGATTGCTTTGCGAACGGTGAATTTTGTCACATGTGCAATTGCAACAATTGCTCGAACAATCTTGGAAACGAAGAGGAACGACAACGCGCGATTAAATCCTGTTTGGAGCGTAATCCTAACGCCTTTCGGCCTAAAATTGGGAAAGGCCGTGAGACTGGCGAAGATATAAGGAGACACAATAAAGGCTGTAATTGTAAACGTAGTGGTTGTCTTAAGAATTATTGCGAATGTTACGAGGTATTTCGAATTATGTACATATCAACAAATTTGTAAATATTTTTTCTTGATAGAAAATGCTTTCTTGATGAAAATGCTGAACAAAAACAGTTAATTTCTTATCTCTTCACTACTCTATATATGTTTCTTCTTCAGAATTAATGCATTTAGTAATTATTTAATAAAATATTCAAAGCATAATTTACTTAAGGATTTTAATTATAATATTGAGTAACATTTTTAATGTACCCACTTATAAATATAAAAAATTTAACTTTGTATTTTCAGGCAAAAATCCCATGTTCTGGAAATTGTAAGTGTATAGGTTGTCGCAACATTGTGGATCCAATACTACAGAAGAAATCACTAAAAGATTTGGCGGAAGCAGCCGAAGTTAAAACAACTCAACTTAGTTTAAATAAAGCGCAGTTACAATTGTCCGAAATGGCTTTCAGACCTCCTGCAACATCTAATACTGGTACAAGGTTTGTACAAAAAATATCTCTTAAACATATAAAAATCTCTTAAAATTATTTTTTAAAATCTAGATATA